AATTGAAGCCAGTGCATTTTAGTTTTTCTGAGTTATGAGCAAAAATACTCAACACTGAACGTTGGGCTATATATCAAATTGAAGCTATTGAAAAATGCTATTTGGTGTAGAAATTTCAAGACTTTAGCTAAAAGGGAAATATTGAAAAACTACAAACATAATTACCGATAATTTGCCGTTTTGCAATCGTTTGTTTGCCGTTTTGTAATCGTGTAGAGATGCGATTAAGGTGGTTTATTTGGTCATTACCTTATGTTCGTGTTTATTACAATTGACGTCAGCTCCTCTCTTGATCAGTAACTGACAAATGTCATGTTTTCCTTTGTATGCAGCTTGCATTAATGGTGTCATGCCATTCTGTGGGGAAAATGAAAAGCATTGCAGTGACAACAAATCGATAAAAGGGATAAATCAAATAGCAGAACTCCCTTTAAAAGTGATAAAAGGGATAAATCGCCTAGAGATTTTCCTATAGGCATGCCATCATATTTACTAGAGATAATATCGCTATCAATGACTAGGAAATTATGTGCACAAAAAGATAAAAAATAATACAAAAACGATTAATTTACAATAGCAAAGTATGAATAATAAATATTTATTGAGTAGTACATTACCTCATCTAAACTGTCAACCTTTATTTGGCCAACATCCAAAATACGGCGAACTTCTTCAACATTTCCTACAAATATTCCAAATAAACCAAAGCTAGACATAGTTCCTTTCTTAAAACTATATCTTCGCTACAATATCTTACCTTGATTGATGTTTTCCAGCAATTGTTTACGAACCATTTCTTTCAATTCTGCCGCCATCTTGTTTTGTTTTTTAATAACAAGAACGGTGACAATAAACAATGGCGACTGTTGTCGACTTGTTCCCGATAATTTCCGAAGAGAAATTTCTCAGAAAAACAAAAATATTATTTGAAAAATGTTACTGTATTAAACTTTATTAATACTTTATTACACAGTAACAATGTAAGTATGTTTGTATAGCTTTCTAAATTACCTAAAATAGTAAAATTTAAAAAAAAGACTGGGAACCAGTTAACGCAATTTCCCGCGTAAATCCGCAAAATTTATAATGTTTGTAACAAATTCAATTTGTAACATTTACAATACAAGATGGCGGAATATGGGGGAGATTTAGTCAAAGGTAAAAGGCAAGAATTATAGGTTTTATTGCAAAGATTATTGCTTGAAATTGTCGTATGAAATGGGTATAGACGATATAAATACATTTTGTAAATCTTTGTTAGAAATTGAAAGAAAATGTGGTTAATTTATTATAAGGGTAATTATCGATCTTACTGCGCATGTCTGATGGCAGTAACGGTTGTGTTGTGGGGGAAATGCTGGGGAGGGGTGGTGTGGGGAGGGTTGGAAACTCTCCTATACCTGCCAAGGTTTATAATGGCAAAAATAAGTACAGTGCTCTTCCTCTGTTTTTAAAGATTGTCAAATGGATAGCGATGATGATGACGATAATTGGGAAGAGCCAATGGGTGATGGCCAAGACGTCATGTGTCTGTTTTGCGATAGTTCCTTCCAAACCACATGTGCATTGTGGGAACATTGCAAAGTGACACATCAATTTGATATCACCCATGTCAAGCAAAAATTTAGTAAGTCCAAATTAACAGACAGTGTTTGCTTGTTATGTTTCTGTAAAAAATAACCATAAATTTGTCCATAATATACCTTTGAAAATGAAAACGAATTTTTTCTTCTTTCATTTATAATTTTTTTACTATAGGATTGGATTTTTATGGTTACATTAGGATGATCAATTTTATAAGGGCTGAGGTAAAAAAAAAGAATGAATTTAATTGAAAATTTTTTATGACATTATTGAAGTTCATTGTTGAAAGATAACTCAGCCATTAAGTTGCATTGTGCCATAATTTATTATTTTAACCGCAGACAATTTTACTTATTAACCCAGTCTGAGCATCAGTGCTCTCCCGATGAGTAAAATTGTCTGGCGTTAGACAGAGTAAAATTTAAATAGGGTGGATTAGGGTACTGGCACTCAATGGGTTGAATCTTCATTCAACACCCCATTTGGTAAAATTTGAGGAAATGTTGTAAACAGAAGATTCTTCTATTGTATATTGATTAGAAACCAGACTGTAAGATGCTGTTTGAATATACACATTCATTTCCATGGCAAGATGACAGATATCTTCAGCCAGTGATGGAGAATGACCCATTACTGCAATATGGTAAAATATCATACCCAATATTAAATATTGTTGTTAGTGCAGACATTGCATTGTAAGTTGCCGCAAAAATTGCCTTGTGTAACATGGCCTTAACTGATAGAGTGATCCAACCATAAGCATA